TATTTGTTGTGTCATGTATTACCTTTCCACATGCATACTTTATATTGCCTTCATCATCTCGAAGTGCATATCCAATTGAGCTCCTGCCCGGATTTCCCCTCGATGCCCCATCGCAGTTAACTTTAATCCATCCTTGTGTTGGCAATTCCCACAAGACTTTAGTAACCTTCAATTTAGGCGTGTACTGTTCCATCATTTGCAGGATGTCTGGCCAGTTATGAGGAATGTTAGCCACTGCAGGTTTCCTCAATCTAACAAGCGATTGAATGGTTGTGGAAACCTGATAAATCACCCGTCTAATCGTCACTATTTCCCCATGTTTGTAACTGTTTCTTCTCTTCCACAGCTCCCACATAATGATGGCAGGAAGTTCTTGAAAAATTGGCTGCAATCTTGATATTACTGTAAGTGTCCAGCACTTCACAATTGCCTGGTGCATAGACAGTCCCTCTATTTTAATTCCAGCATGCATTAGGAAGTATGACCACACTTTTTTCGCAGCAAACGAAGTAAAGAAAAGGTGCTGTAACGTTTCTTCTCCTGGTTGCACATAGCACCAGCATCGAGAAGGCATTGCGTATCCCATTTTCTTCATATGGTCGTCTAGGGGTAGTTTTGCTTTCCATACTTTCCACATAAAGAACGATATCTTGAATGGTAATCCTTTTACCCACATCTTTATGTATGCTGCCCCCGTGTCCTTTCTCTGCCTTAAATACTCCCACGCTGATTTCACTGAAAAAATTCCTCCATTCTCAAGGCACCAGTAAGGTACGTCAAGCAATTGCTGCTCCCCTGGTGGTATGATATTGTCGATAATGTGTGCTGCATATTCCCCAGGCAGAATGTTGGTTAACTTGTCTACATCCCAAGCTCCTGTATGCATAACATCAGTAACATTGTTAACTGATTCATCAATGTAAAAGCCATCAGGTGTGTTGAAGTATAATGCTCCCAATCCAGTCCAGTTGTCAAACCAAAAAAGCGAAGATCCCATTTTCAGACGCCACCTAATTTGATGTTCTATAATGTCCCGACATTCCAGCATTCGTCTCCAAACATGCGAACCTTTTTTCCAAGGTACTACAATAGGATTTAATTTTTTGCAGTATTTTTGGGACATGAAAGAGCTCCATAAAGTTGGTTTTGTCCTGAAGTTCCACCAGAGCTTACAAAAAAGAGCTTTTGCAACATCGTGTAGATATCGAAAACCTGCTCCTCCTTCTTCATAAGTCGACATAGAGTACTCCATGATGCCCAGTGCCTACTTTTGCCACCAAAAGAGCTACTCCAAAAGAATTATGCGAATATCTTATGTAGCTTGTTAATGACAAATGGAGGTGGATTCATTGTCGATAAGAGATGGATAGGCATGCTTTGTAGGACATGTTTGATTAAAATCGCCCTACCACCAATCGATAATAATTTTCCTTTACATGCTTGCAATTTGTCCATGACTTTATTGATCAAGCCATCATAGTATTCCATTTTCCTTCGAGCGTAGAAAATTGGGCATCCAAGGTATAAGAAAGGGAATTCCTGCTTGCAAATACCCGTGATTCTTTGAACCTTATTTACAACATCTTCAGGTGAAGAATCATGCATGTAGACTGCTGATTTTGACTTATTAATGAGTTGTCCAGAAGCTCTTTCATATGCTACCAAAATCCCAACTAGCAGCTGCAACGACTTAGCATCTGAAGAAGAAAAAATTATAGTGTCGTCGGCGTATGCTAGATGGTTTATTTTTGGACTCCACTTTGGCATTCCAAAGCCACAGAAGTATAAATTAAGGTGCAAATCATTTAACGCCCTTGAAAACGCCTCAGCTGCAAGTATGAATAGGGTTGGTGATAGAGGGTCTCCTTGCTTGACGCCCCTAGTAGACTTGAAAAATCCATGTGGCTGACCGTTGATGAGAACGGTGTACCAATTGTTAGACACAATTCCATAAACCAAGTCAATAAATGTTTCACAAAAACCCATTTGCCTCAGGACTTTAGTGAGGAATAACCAAGAAAGACGATCACAGGCTTTCGTCATATCTAGTTTAATCACTACGTTTGGTCCGGGCTTCGATCTCAATCTAATATCAGTGATTATCTCTTGAGTGAGGAGCACATTTTCAACTATGTTTCGACCCTTTACAAACCCCGCTTGTTCGTCAGAAATAAGAGTAGGTAGTAGACTAACTAGCCTCTCGTGGATGACCCTTGAAATAACTTTGTTGATGAAATTGCTCAGGCTTATTGGACGTAGATCTGAAAATGTTTGCACATCTTTCTTCTTTGGTAATAGAACTAGATTTGTATGTGTAACATATCTTGGTAGTTCATGACCATTGAAGAAACTCTTGACCATGTTAAAGACATCGTCACCAATGATATCCCAACATGAATGAAAAAAAGCTCCTGTGAAACCATCCGGGCCAGCTGCGCTTTCTCCATTTAACCCCATCGTAGCCTGTTGGACCTCATCTTTTGTGGGCTGCTTCATCAGCTGAATGTTCTGCTCCGTTCCTACTAATTTTGGAACATGACCTATAATTTCAAAATCAGATGGGCATCTTTCTTCATGGAACTGTTCTTTAAAGAAATGAACTGCTTCTTCTGCGATTTGAGTATTGTCATCTATCCAGATTCCATCTCTGTTTTGAATCCCTCGTAGCTGCAATCTCTTCCTTCTGCCGTTGACTTGAGCGTGAAAGAATTTAGTGTTTCTATCTCCGTCTTTGAACCAAGCCATCCCTACCTTTTGTTTCCAAATTTGTTCCTCAAGAGCAAGAAATTTGATAAGTTGTGCTTGAACTTTACACAGTCTTTCCCTATTTGCCCGAGTTGGATTTATTTCAAATTGAGCCTCATGAACCTTGACTACCTCTTCCAAACTAGATATCTTCTTGAAAATATCTCCATATGTCGACTTGCTCCATTGTGACAGTCCTTTTTTCACTTTTTTCATTTTGTGGTTGAATAAAGTGAAAGGATTTGCTTCAAAATCTGCATTCCAATTTTCATTGACCACATCTTTAAACGTCGGATGTTTTGTCCAAAAATTGAGAAATTTGAAGGATTTCTTTATCACAGTCGATTCAAGATTACATTTTAGCAGCATGGGACAATGGTCGGATCCAGTTTTTGGCAGATGAGTGACTTCTATTCCAGGGAACATTTGTTGGAATTCAATGTTAGCCATACATCTGTCAAGTCTTTTGAAAATGCAATCTTCCTCCGCTCTTCCATTCCACCAAGTATATATACTTCCCTTGAATCCCAAGTCAAATAGATTACAGGTGTTCATGCAATGTCGGAAATCGTCTACTTCATTCAAATTCACTGGACGTCCCCCAAACTTCTCCTCAGCATCCCATATGACATTGAAGTCACCTCCAACAAGCCAAGGAACATCCATATCTGCTGCCATTGCGTATAATGAGTCCCAAAGCTCTATTCTTTCTATTGCATCACACTTGGCATAGACCAAAGTAACATTTTGGACAATGCGTGTTTCTGTATGAGTCATTTGTAATGTCAGCTGCTGCTCCATGTCATATAGAATTGTGACGTCTTACAGTTCGTCAACGAAAGCCCACACCTTATTTGAAATGTTAGAAAATGCTTGAGAAAAACCTATCTGTCTTATGTATAATTCCAGCTTTGAACCATCCTGCATTGGTTCCATGAGACCAACAAAATCGAAATCATGTTGTCTATGCATTTTTACGAGCCTCTCAAAGGCTCGCTGCGTATTGACGGATCTAATATTCCAAATAATTGCATCCATTAACAATTATTTGATTTAGAACAACCTCGTCGAGTTTGGATCCCAGCAGTAGGCATGCCAGAATTGTTTCTGTTAATCTTTCCTTTTTTTCCTTTTGCAGCAGATTTAACTTTGGCTATATGAGTTGGAGAGATATCACCTTTTCTTGTCACGTTGATGAAGTTTTGAGTTGTTGATTCCTCATCTAAATCTCTTCCATTTCCCAGAATGTTTTCATCTTCTTTTTCTTGATTCATAACTGGTCTTGCCAATTCATGAGAGGGACAGCTTGTCATTACGCCTTTGGAATCATTATACTTGAGTATCCTCACCCTACTGTTATCACCAAACTCTTTTTGATTGTCAGTTTTTTTAATCATCCCTTGTTCCCCTTCAGCGTTGTATTTTAATCCATCCAACTTATCATTTTTGCCCAAGTGCATTGAGGCGCCTGTAATTGTTGTATCTGCTTGTTTCCTGGCTTCACTGCAGTCTGCAGCATGATTTTCCTCCTCTGGTATGTTTTTTACCTTTTCTCTGTTTTGAAACAGAGTATTTGCTCTGTTTGGAGCTCGAGTATGTTCTGCTACAACAACTGCATTATCATTTACACTTTGGTCTTCCTCCTCTATGACCTCCTGATCAGCTTCAGCTTCTTCATTAATTCCTTTTGGAATTTCTCCTTCTTCAGAATCCTCCTCCGCTTGATCCTCCCAAAGCTTGCCACTAGTCAGAGCTAGTATGTCCTTCTTATTCACTTGTTCCGATGATCCATATGTGTCTTGAGATGGGATATCCTGACACGAGTGATTAGTGGTAACTAACTTGCTTCCAAAGATCTTATTAGCCCATTGTGCTGTGGACTCTTGTTTTCTATGCTTTTGATGCTCATTCTCTTTAGCAGAAAGATTAAAAGCAATAGCATTTGGATTTAACTGATTTGCATCTTTTGACAATTGTTTTGTACGAGCATCATAGTTTGGAATTTGAGTAATAACATCTGCAGTTGCAATCAAATTGCCATTTGGTTCCATGTTAGCTCTATTTTTGACAGCAGAGGTTTCCCCTATCAACATCAGATTATTTCCTTCATTGTCATCAGTTTTTTCCATTTCTAAAACTGCAAAGCTACTCCGAATCTGAACATGGTCTGCCTGCTCATCTTCGATTTCCACCAATGCCAAAACATTTATCATCTGATTCTCCTTGGTTGCAGCAGTCAATGCCATTGTCTCATGTCATGTTTTTGTTTGAACACAATTCTCATTATTGACAGGCTTCACACGCTTATCATTCACCTCTTTCCATTGTCCTCCTACATGTCCAGTAGGCTTTTGACCTGTGAAGATCGCCAAAGTTCCTGTAGCAGTAGCCTTACCTTTAGACTTATTCTGAGTATGTGAAGTGTCATCGACCACTCCCTGCATTTTAGTCACATTGTCATTATCTTCCAGCTGATTGGCATCTCTTATTGCATTCAATAATTGCCTTGCGTCCCCCTGAAGCTGTTCAATGCAATTCTCATCCAGATCAGTTCGACTAATTTGCTCTGTATTTTCCTTTGCATTTTTATTTCTTCCTTTCATCGCGCGACATGAAATTTCATCATGCCCTTGGTGCTTACGACATGTACAGTACATTGGAAGGTAATCATATATAACCTTTTGACTGAAATCATTAGATTTTTCAGAAATTTTGTTGACGACTGAAATCTTTACTTTTTTGGGATGCTTATCCAGCAGATCCAGCAACACTTTAACCCTCACAGCGCTTGGCCTTGTTCGATCTTTCGTCGCCTTATCAATAGCAAGAGGTTTTCCAACTGCAGATGCAATTGACATCAAAGATTTCTTAGCAAAATAATTTGGTGGAAGATCTGGGAATGAGATCCACACCACAGCCTTCGATGTCTCAATTCGTGGATCGAATCCAATCGTCCAAGGAAAAGTTCTGAAGAAGAACTCCTCTCCATTTGAGTTAATGTGCCTAGTAGATCTAGACACAAAGTTTACATAGTCTTCATAAAGCTCGAATCGTACCAGTAAATGTCTAAACTCCAACTGCCCGATGTTGCACGATCCCTTCACATCGAACTGTTTTGGAAAAAGTTTTCTGAAGTTGTGAAGTTCTGGTTTTCCATAAGAGAATTTGATGACAACTGCTTGGTGTAAACCTTCCTCTATGACAAACTCTTTCACATCATCTGTGGTAAATTCAACGATTGGTTCTCCACGTTCGAATCTAACTGGACATAGCACTATATGTTGGATTTGTCGCACATTTTCTTTAGTCACAGTTGCTGCATAATTCATTTTTGGATGAATGTTGATCCCAGGTGCTTGCTCTCCCACAACCAAGGACTGGGGAGAGTTCAACGCAGCCATTGCTGCCTTACACGAACATGAGCAAGTTCAAGTCGCAAAAGAAGCTGCGATGAATAGTAACTCGAATTCACTGCTACAGTGACGGCGGGTATTTTCTAGAGAGAGAAAGTAGAGAGAAGAAGTTTTAAATTTCTGTTTTTATATTTTTTATTTATTTGTAGACTAAAATAAGGGATGCAAGCTATAGAAGAGAACTCATAGCGTTGACACACCTGAACACATTAGACCCTAGAGTGTAACGCGCTTAGTCTAAATTGTTGAATCTCACTGAAAGTGCCTTAATTTGTATGTTTGTACTGAATTGAATGCTCGTAATGGAGTGTCTTATTGAGCTGATTTGGAATGAGTCATATGCCATGTGTGGTGAGTATTTGTGTAATCCATGTGTTGTACTTGTGTCTAGAACTTGCCCGGTATGTGAGTCGAAGCGAAATTTGAGGTGATGCTCGGTTTGAAAAATGATGTTAGGCTTTCTTTGACCTTTTTGAGCTTAATTGCTTATTAAAAATAAAATTTGTCCCTAGTTAACCCTTTTGAGCCTTCAGACTTTTTGTTTGGCACCCGCATTACAAGCCTATACCCTTTTGTTCTTAATTGACATTATTTTGATCCTTTTACCTCTTAAAGCACTTTAATTGTGAGAAGAGCGCTAAAAGAAGTAAGAAGGAAATAAGTGTGGGGTGACTTTTGAGTGGAACCAATAAAAGGATGAAAGGTGCACTTATGTTGTAAACGAATACACCACTAGCAGAAATTGAGTGACAAGAAAAATTACATTGTGTTTTGCTCTAGCTAGTGGGAATGAATTAATAGAGTGCTTAAAGAAGAAGGGCGTAATTGTGGGGTGATATTGTGTATAAAGGAGAAGTGGGTTGAAGAATTCATGCTGAAAATTGCTCGTGTGATGTGTTAAAGTGCTTAGGGGTTGAGTCACTATTCCTAAATACATCCTACACGTCCCTTAGCCCACATTACAACCATAAAAAAGTCCTAATTGATTTTGGATTGAGCTAGCCTACATTAGTAGAGATTTACATTAAGGGCAAGCTTATGGTACCAATTGCATGCATGTGACCTCTTTTGTGAGAGTGAGTGATTTCCTTGATATATGTGAATATATGAATTGAATGTGGGGGATTGAACTCAGTTTTTGTTGATGTAATTGTGAGNTTTTGTTGATGTGATTGTGAGGGCATATGAATCGTGACGGAGAAGCAAGTCTTGATTTCTGTGTAGAGTACTTTGA